ATTCTTGTGCGATGAGATCATAGGGCTAGCTTCAGCTGAGTCATCAGTTAAGTCTTTAGTTTAAGGTAAGCTTTGCGCGATGAGATCATAGGGCAAGTCTTCAGCTGAGTCTTTGGTTGAGTCTTTGGCTTTGACGATTTCTTTAATTGCAGGAAGTAAATCTTGTAAAATTTCATCATTTTGCTCATCTTCAAGCTTTTTTACATATTTTCTAAGTTCATGAATTGAAACATTATAATATCTAAATATTTAAATTACACATTAGCATATATATAATATTTGCAATATAAATAAATCAAAATAATTACAAACTTTCTGGAAACCAGTTTTTCTTTCTTCTTTGGTGGGGGAGCATCCAAAATAGTTCAATTTCAGATAATATCTAATAATATTAATTAGATCAATGACTTTACATCACAAACTAGTAATGCTAAATAAATTCTACCTCTGCTTTTGTTCGTAAATATATTTCCTCATACTCTTTTTTTTCCATAGTCATTGAAAGCAATGATATAAATAAATTCAACAGATAAATTGTTGTAAAAAATAAAAATGTAACTAATAAAAATGACAACATCAAATTATTTTGTAAAACCCAGGAAGAAACAGCGCTTGTATCACCTAAAAATGAAATGTGTATTTATAATAAAATAAATAGATCAATTTTTTTATAATATTTGCTTAATGATTATATATTATGTAAATACCAGTTAGCATAAAATATACTGCTAAAAAAGATGTACTAAATTTTGCAAATAAATTTGTATTATCGTCTGGAGTTTCAATAAATGATTTTTCTCCAATAGTACCATTAGATGAAATAGATTGATAAGTTGGAACAAGATTCCAAGGATTATTATTATCATCAGTATAACTTGGCTGATTATAAGAATATTTACTAGTGGGCCTTAATAAAAGATGTAAAGAATGGGCAAAAGCAAAAACTGTTAGGCATAAAAAAACAAAAAAAAACAAAAAAATCTGTTTTGCAACTTCAATTATAATTGCAAAATATATTCCTAAACTATCTAGAGCACGAAAAAATAAAATAAATTTAATTTCAAGAAAAAAAGTAGCAATAGTTATAAGTTCGATTGATAAAGTTTTATTGCATAGCCACATTATAGAGGAAATGGTCGGAACTAATATTGCAACAAAATCTATAAATTACTATTATTAGAATTAAATTATAAATAAAATTTTACATTAAATTAGCTATTATATAAACATACCA